CTCCCCACTTACTAATAAAGGGTGACTGTAGGGGATTTCCCTTGATATGTTCTTGCCTCAACGGAGGCGTGGTTGTAAGCCTATGCCATCACCTCAGAGTAAGTCTTCTAAGTGTTGGCATTAATCATGTACTTGAAGAAACAGTCACGTAAGCCTGCCGTGAAGGCTTTGAGGGTGGTCTTATCATCTGCCTCAGCGTAGCGAGAATACTTATGGTTGAAATGGCCGATATACTTTCGCAGAGACTCGTTCGGCTTCTGGCGAATAGTGTACAAGTCATCTGCAGAGTGCAAGCGATCAGTCTAGAAGATGTGTTGAGAGACAAATAGTTTCCTTAATTCCTCAAATGAGTTTACCGTCTCAGGTGGAAGACGACAATATCAGTTTAGAGCTCCATCAGAGAGGGTGGAGGGGAAGATGAGACATCGCTTTTCATCGGTATGCATCCGGTATGCCATGGTGGACTCAAAGAGATTAAGATGTTCAATTAGATCCTCCATTCCAGTGTAAAGTTGTAAGCCGAGTTTCTATTTTGTCTGTGCTTGAAGGGGGTGTTAAGGATCTTCCTTGTAAGAGGGCCAAGCCTGGGTTGGTTCCAATCAAGTATCTCGGCCTGACCTTTAGCCTTCAAATTGTTTACTTCCTCAAAGAGCTGAAAGATAAGGGGGTCCTGAGTGGAGTCATGTACTATTGGAGTTTTCTTCTGTATTCATTGCCTCTTAAAAGTAGGAAAGTTTGATCAAGAGCATGTGACTTTTCCTTGGACTCGTCGTACTGAATTCTAGATCGAGTCTATCGGAATACTTCCGAGTCCCCTATACCTTCATGTTTTTCTAGGATTTGTCGCTCTTTCCTTAGTTTGACAGCTGGCCTAGGTCGTGGGAAGGGAACGAGTCTTTCAGAAACCCTTGGGTCATTGATCTTCGAGCTTATATGGATGGGATTTTCTCGACGTTGTCTCAGAAAGTCTCAATAGTCGCGATAAACGGCTTTTGATCCTTCCCCTCCCTCTGCAAGGAGGTGCCCTTCCTCCACTTCTCCCGTTTTGGGTTGAAGCAGCTGGGTTGAGAAAGGCCTCATGTTGATCAAAACATTGATGATTAACTCGCTCTTCATTAGGAACATCCATGTCGAAGATCGGTGACCCTCCGTGTTGGGGGGCACCCATTTGGTGGTTGACTTCCACGGGGACGATGAGCTCACGTGTTTGAGTATGCCTAGCCTCATGGAGCATCTCGAAGAGCTTCTCATATTGCTCTTGGAGGACCTCATTCTTCAATGCTATCATGTTGTTCTGAGCTTCCAACTTTTCGAATTTAGCTTAAAGAGTGAACTTCTTTCGTTCCTTCTTTCGCTACCTTACACTAGGCGCGAGGGGGTGTCGTTCTGTGTGCTATGGCTTCCTTCGCTCCCCATGTTGAAGAGGGATTCTAGTCAAAAGAGAGTGTACGAATGGTGGAAACCAGCTTAACAAAGCTAAAGAGAGTAGGAGTAAGTGTGATTCCCACAGACGGTGCCAAAGTTGATGCACAAAATCAGTGAGGACTTTGGTACAACATAAAGTGTCAAGTTTGTGACCTTCGCTAGATTACTTCAGTCACCAGTGTGGGTAAGTATGTAAAGAGGTGGGGACAAGGAAACAAACACAAAATGTACATGGTTCACCCAGATTAGCTACGTCCACGGAGTAGAGGAGTTCTCATTAATTGTGAAAGGTTTACACAAATACATAAGTTCAAGCTCTCCTTTAGTGAGTTCTAGTGAATAGTTTGGTACAAATGACATTAGGAATTATTATGGGCGAATGATCCTTTTTATAGAAGAGAGTTTCTAGCTTTGTTATGACATTGACATGTGTCGTGTTGTGATTGGCCTCTGATATCAACATGTGTTGCGATGTGATTGGCCTCTGATATCAACACGTGTTGTGTTGTGATTGGGCTCCTGGTTGGAGGGAAAGTCTTGTGGGTCCTTCATGGTATACTATTGACCAATGCTCAGTAGTTTCGGGATTGGTCAAGTATGGTACAAACAACTTTCTTTGTTCTATAGGTTAACAATACGACAACATAAGATGCTAAATGATTTTCATATGTAATATGTATGCATAAATAGGTATTGAACTATGAAGGTCAAATATAAAACCTTCCACTTACAAGTAATTAAAAATAGAAAGGACTACTACTGGACCACAATACTAGTAGAGGGATAGTGTAAGGTCGAATATCATACTTTCTACCCATTTAAACAAACTTCAAATTCTCTGGTACTCCTTGGAAGATACAACAATCTATAATTCACTAAGTCTAAACTGATCTTGGTATTGTGCCTAAGATCTTCTGGGATAGTGTAAGGTCGAATATCATACTTTCTACCCATTTAAACAAACTTCAAATTCTCCGGTACTCCTTGAAAGATACAACAATCAATAATTCACCAAGTCTAAACTGATCTTGGTATTGTGCCTAAGATCTTCTGTATTGAGCTACCAAGCAGTGGGATAGTGTAAGTTACACTAAGAATCCATTGAATAACCATTCGTTTTTAATTTCTTATTTTTATCTTGGGAATTGTTATTGGCACTCCAAAATTCTCATTCTACACTCCAAACTTTCTATATTTCGAAAGAAAAATACACTTGTGAGGAGTGTAGAATGAGATTTTTGGAGTGCCAATAACACTTCCCTTTATCTTTTGTGCTTGTAATACCAAGAAAATATATTGAAAAAAATAAGAGAGGAAGAAAAATGATGAGTGAGTGGGAAATAAAAAAGAAGGAACACAATATTTACCGACACAAACTTAAAAGTTTATCCAGACTTTTGAAAGAAAGGTTAGTCAATATTCATATTGGCTACACTAGAAGAGGCTTAACATACTTGTCTGATTATATGTAAGGAGCCATTCTTTCTTATATGAAGACGTGACAATATTTTAAGGCACAAATATTATATTCGGAACTATTTATTCTCGTTATTATTATTTAAATATTATCTTTAAAAAAACATTTAATTTGGAGACCGTTTGGCCATTCATATGTGTCCAATAAATCAATGGTTATGGTAACAAGCAGCATCCTCATCATGATGAACTATTAATTGATTCATCATGATTAAATGGCCTCCAAATCAAATAAATTTTTTAAGAGAGAGTCTTTATATGATGATAATAAAGAAAATGAACACACTGAACAGTTATAATTATGACATTTATATAGTAAAATAATGCAACGTCTTCTCATACTCTTTATATGTAATGTAGATGGTGAGTAATAAGACTTGGTTTAAATAAGGAAATGGCCTTCCTTTTGTGAAACTTGCTTTTACTCATCCTCCCTTTCATTTCAATAGAAGTTTGCCTTGCCAAAATAAGAGCATGTAATGGGATTGCTTATCAAAAGGCTAAACATATTTGACAACTAAAAGTGCTTTTGATTATGTCTGGTAAAAAAAATTTAAAATGTTTATGAATAGTAAAAGGGCTATGTACTTCTCCACAAAGCATTTGCAATTTCAATAATAAAAAGGGCACTTTAACGAAAAACTCCCAATACTATTCACTTTAACGAAAAACCACATTTTTACACTAAAAGTCAATCTTGATACTATTCATTTTAGTCTTTATTTTGTCCTTATTGTTAAAACTCAAAGTTTTCAAGCCATTTTCTTTAGTTTTCCTTAATAAAAAGGCTTATTAGTCAAAATGCCCCCTGGAACTGTCATTGAGTCTCAATTTATCCCTTGAAACTGACATTTTCAACTTTTTTGTGTCACCCACTTCTGTTAATGGACTATTAAATTTAAGGGTATTTTAGACATTTTCAGTTTTTACACATTTATTTACCTCTAGCCCCCGCACTAAACAAGTCTTAATTTTATATTTGACAACTCTAATTCAAATGCATAAACTTGGGGCATTTTTAAAAATAATTATTCAATCAATAGAAAATTTCCAAGCAACAAAATCATTGTATCAACCAAATAAGGGTTACATTTGTTGGTAGAGTCATTTCACTTGCAAGACATCCATGTATTGGCTCGAAACTGCAATTAAAAAATATTCATGACAACAAAATCACTATGTCATTATCTTATCCAAAATACTTCCCAAACCAAAAAAAATCATTTAAAGCAAATGTGCATGGTTTGAAACAAAAAAGTTTCACATTGTTGAGCACCGATCACTAGGCATGAGCATAAATAAATTGTGCACATTTGCTTTAAATGATGTCGTTTAGGAAGTGTTTAATTTGGATAAGATAGCTTAATGGCATAATGATTTTGTTGTAATGATATTTTTCAATTGCAAAGTTTCAAGCCAATAAATGGATATCTTGTAAGTGAAATGACTCTATAAACAAATGTAACCTTTATTTTGGTTGATACAATGATTTTGTTGCTCGGAATTTTTTTTATTGATTGAATAACTTATTTTCAAAAAATGCCCGAAATTTATGCGTTTGAATTAGAGTTGTCAAAAATAAAATTGAAACTTGTTTAGTGTGTAGGCTAGAGGTAAATGAACGTATAAAAATTGAAATGTCTAAAATACCCTTAAATTTAATAGTCCATTAATGGAAGTGGGTAAAGTGAGACAAAAGAGTTGAAAATGTCAATTTTAAAAGGCAAAGTGAGACAAAACCAGTTTCAAGAGATAAACTAAGACTCAATGGCAATTTTAGGGGCCATTTCGACTAATAAGCCTAATAAAAAAACTTTTATATTTTTATAATAAAGGTTTTCCTTGCAAAAGCACTTCTGAACATAAATGTTTCTTACATAAGCAACCCTAAATTTGCCAACTTGTGGCCAGTCTTTTGTTTTGTTTATTTTGCAATGAACTTTTGTGCTACATGTTCACTTCTTTCTAAACACAGGCAAAATGATCAACACTGACAACACAGCTTCTCCGAATATGACTAATTACTGAATGAAACAAGTGCCTGCACCAACTCTAACTGCATATTGCACTGGGAGGAAGAAGGTAATGCAACAAGATAATTTCAACAAAGAACACTGTAAATTATTTTCATTGATTAGGGTTGGAGCACAGCATAAGCTTGAGCACTTTCCACCCCTCATAATGTCATAACGAACAACGTACCGTTAATACAAAATATAGGCCTCGGTTATCGTTGTACAAAATACAGGCCTATAAAGAATGTTTTTAATATACAAATAATTTGGACTAATTTCACAAACAACAATTGCTCTTGTGGGAATATTTTGCAGAATGGACCAACTGTGCAGCTCTCTCAACTCTGAGCCAAGATTATGTGGAAGTAAATTATAATCTCTTGCCAAATCGGGTAAAACAATGTAAGGAACATTGTCTTACTTCTTTCGGGTGGCCAAAAAATCTATGTGTAAAGTGATGCTATGTCTTCTTGGGCACCTGCAGCAACGAATCAGCGAATGATATTGCAACTTTGAGTGATTATTATACGAATATGTGAAGTGAGCGCATCCACACGCACAAGAAATGCATGAACTAGACATGCAAATTTAATAACAACATCATTGTATACTACACTGCTTCAAAATAAACTGAAGTACCTTTTTTAGATATTTCTTGTGGAGTTTCAATGCCCCAGTGCAAGCTTTTTTGGCATCTAAATTTCCAGTTATGTCATTCAATATCTGGCGGAGAAAAAGAGTGAGGTAAGTAGACAGACAGGTAAAAGTTGTACAAAAATTAAGTTTCAATTCAACCAACTGAAAAATTGACAACTCTAAGTACTTGTTTATTACACGGGTCAAAGATTCTTCACCAGTCCCTAACGACTCGTAGAGAATTATTTTGAACTTCTCCCTTAGGGCATTAGAAATAGCTAAAGACAATTTTAGTCCATGCAGTTTGCCAGGGCTTCCAATTTCGTCCTGCAAAACTTGTAACTATATCCTGCTAGTTAACAATAGGTTGCAATCAACCCAAAAATCCTTAAGATGATCACTTTTCATGTTTTATTTTTAAGAGATTAGGCAACGCATTTGAAATTTTCAGGGTCCAATCCCTTACAAAACAGCATGAAGATGTGATTATTTTTCAGGGTTTTGATCTTGATTGCAACCTAATGTAAGTCGTAAAACTACACGGACAAAATTGGAACCCAAGATAACAACATTGGAACAACAGTTTCATTTGGCTTTTAGAATTTTTATATAATCATTTGTGAAAGAACAAAACGATAGCATCGTATTCTTCTCTGAACCATGTTTGACTACCGTAGAAGAATCCACTTTTTCAAGGAAAGATTTAATAGGGTTGGCTTATCAATGTTGCTGCTCCAGTCTCCTATTCCTTTCCACTTTATTACATATTTTTACTTTCAGATGTAAATTATAATTTATCATGTATGTCAAATCAACCCAGCATCCTGGACCCTAGTTTGGCCACAGCAAGCGGCTTCTTACATTTAGTAACTCTTGTTTATTGTTTTAGACGAATTTATGACGAGGCTGTCCCCACATAGACATGTTTTCTGTTTAAGTCATGTAATATCATTCTCAATATAAGCTGAAAGTTGAACGGTTCTAAGAATAGCAAATCGTCAACTGATAATGCTAACCTTGACAACATCATCCAGACCCCGAGCTTCTGTAAGTAGCTTTGAGCTCTTATCTTTCAAGACACTGGCAACAAGGAAAACAGAAATTGGGAGCGGTGCTTCTGAATTCTTTGCTCCACTTTTCATGTTTTCCCTCTCATACTTCCCACACTGACGTGTTGACTTTGGTTTCCCTTTAGATCCCTCGGCCTTCTCACTATCAGTATCAGATTCTTCGTACACACTGACCAAGTCAGGGTCGTACTCAAGAGCCCACATCATCTGTCAAAGTTTAAATGAGATAAATTCTTACCAATATAAATAAGATCTTTTAAGTTCAAGATGCAGCATAACCATGTATACGTGCACAAAGAAAAAGGATATATTTGGCCAAAAACGAAAAAGAAAAAGCAATAACTATATAGCTGCAGAAATTTACTGTGCAGGACACCCTTTCTTTATTATAGAACAGGATACTATTCAATCAGGAACACATACATCCAATTACACAAACAAATGATCTGAAGTTTGGTCTTTCATATCAAATGTATGCAATAGTTCTTAAAATTTATTTTCGAAAAGTACTTGTCAAATAAGTACTAACTTGCCAACTTTTACTCGGAAGAAATAAGGTCTAATACAAAAAATTCTGCATAAGTATTAAATTTAAGGAACAATATATAAGTGGAATTGTGGAGAAATATTTGATGATTAGGAAAAAATAAAGTGGCTTCCCAGAAATAGTCTCACGGATTCGATAAAAGTATTTATACATGCAATAATTAGATATATTAAAAAAAATCCAAAAGGGAGAATAGAAAAATATCAAAAAGGTACTAACAGAAACTCATTCTTACCTCCCAAAGGTATAAAGAATCACAAAAAGAGAATTCTCGACGGAACAAAACCATAAGCATCCGGAAAGCAAATAAATAGTCACCTCCACCTAGTGTCTCTGCATTCCAAATTGAACATATCTATTACTATCTTCCTCATTTTTTTAGCATTATGTTGAGCAATGTAAGAAAGACATGACAGAAACACACAGCAAATTTGATATTCAAATCCTAATAAACTTTTCTAAAAAAATTCTCAAAAACAGATTTCTTTTCCCTAAATAAATGTATCGAATATTCATCCAAACGGTTGGCGAGCATGAATTTTCATGATCAGTTCTGAGAAGAAGATTATGAATAATGAAAAATGATGAAAATTGCATATGATGTCTCCAACGTTTTAGATAAACAAATATTTTCTGTCTGACAAGTAAATGGACATAATTGTAGAGCTTAGTAAAGCAAATAAAAAAGACAATACCTAAGTGCTGATGAAGTTTAGGATCAATGACTTGAGTAATTGAAGCAAGATTACTTAGTTGTGCCTCCACCCCAACAGAGCTATCGGTACATCTGAAATTTCCTCGCTTTAAATTTAAAATGGAACAAGTCATAAGAAACTGGAATCCAAATTAACCATTACCGGGTAACTTTGTAGCTTTAAAGAAAACACGTAACTTCAAATTGAAAGAAAAATATTGTAGCAACTGTTCAACAACAGAAGTAGATGAACAAAAACAGCTAATGAATCTCATTAATACATGGATTTAAGATTGCACATCTCCTCTGTTAATTTCTGGAAGGAAGAGCCTAGCAACCCTAGTTTTTTTAAACACATGGTAGGCATTGATTTGATGCAACATCAGAATAATATACAAAGTGAAAGATTTGGTGCAAAGTTTTACCAGTCTGCGCATCAAGCGTTCAAAGCACCAAAATGCATCTGCTTCATCATCAAGAAGGATAATCATGGGGGAACAAAGATCACTCATTCCTGATCATTGTGTCATGAATTTCGGAGTTTAGAAACATCAATTTTTTTTTTCTTTTGAAAAAATCAAAATGAATTTCTTTTTCACTTCCCAGAAGTGTAGGGAAGGGATGGATTCAGTAGAAAAATCACTCCTATGTTACCAACCTTGACAATAACCGACATCTGTATCTATCCAGGCATAAACGGCTAAAATATCCCAAAGTTTTGACAAGTTTTCTTGCTTCTCGTAAAACACTAGTGTCCTGTCAGTACGAACCACGTCAAGACCTGGCATACAAATAAAGATAATCAGACAAGCTATCTAACAAATCATTATTAAACATGAAAATTCTGCAATCCGTCAAGTTCAGTACTTTTTCACATGTTGCGGGTAGGTGATGTAAAGACGTGATGAAAACATAGAATTGACCAATAAAATAGTCAGGGCACTGACAACAAAAAGAAAAAATGCCTGACAATAAAAAAGAAGTTCCTCCAAAATAACCATGGTATGTATGCAAACAAATAAAAATATATCACAAACCTATTTGATGTAGAGTAAGCATCCACTGGATTACTTTCTTGTCCGTTACTGGTTCCATAACATTCTTACGGTTTGTACTTGAACCATTGTCTGGATTTATTTGTGAAAGTACTATGGGATCCTGAATGGGCTGACCATCTTCAGTGATTACAGGGGCAGTGATAAACCTACCACTTCCAACAACAGGAAACATTTGACGGCAATCTTCCTTTGACCGAGCATATTGCACTCTGAAAAGGGCAAAGCATGATACTTAACAAATAATACCGAATAATGGGACAGGTTAAGCATAACATGCTGGAATCTGACAAGATAACATTATGTACAGCCTGTACATTTGGAAATATACACATCCCACACAAAATAGAGATGCTGGAGTCTGGACCCCTATCGTATGAAGAGGAAAACCTGAGTCTTTTGCTAGCATGTTTCGCCATTGTTGTTAACTAAATTTACTCACTTGGGGTACATCGCAAGTCATAAACCTCAACTCATGATATTGATTATTTTCCCAAAAGATCATCTTTAAATTACTTAACGAATTGCAGTACTAAAAGATACATGAACCAGAAATAATTTCTCCTTAGACCATTCTCATCAATTGCGAGTGTACTACCCTAGGAAACTTCTTTAGATAAAGAAAAAATAAAAGGTAAATGACAAATAAATTTGAAGTAACCCGAGTGAGGCAGGAAACAAGATATACCTTCGACGTTGCCGAATCTGCTCTCTTTCATCAAATGTGCTCGTAGGATCATAACAACCTAGTAGAAACTCCCAAACTTCTCCTCTAATTGATGGATGGATTCCCTAATTGCCAAATATAATAAAATTATGGATTGAAGCTGACCACTAGCCTTGCAAATTGATTATTTCATGAGCAAAACTATTTAAAAGAATAAGTTCTAGATATCCACAAAATGTAGATGAACTAGTACCAGGCTTAACAACAGCTGGACGGTCAAACAGTGAAGCATCTATGTTATTTCGTGTGCAAATACAAATAAAATTAAGTAATAGATAATCTGATTTTTTCACTAAACTAATGGCTCTGATTTCCTAGATATTCCCTATCATGTAAGTCTGTAGGAGCACCGGTAGGTTTTTCATTGGATTTTACAATAAAAGAACAACAAAAACATAAAGAGAAAAAAATGAATCCATAAAGACAAGTATTGATAGGATTGTCGAGACGCTCTGATAGCTACACAGAATCCAAAACTGAGTTTTATAAATATAACGAAAAAATTTAGCATACTAAGTGGTAGCTATGAATCATGAAGATTCACTCACCCCACGATGAATTCGACTTAAAGTCTTGCCTATATCCAGTTGGCCTTCTGGACTAAATGCAGCCTGCCATTTCCTTACACTTAGAGTTTTACCTGCCTGCATGAGCAAATAGAAATAAGGCGTGGAGATTGAGAGAAGCACATCATGGTAATGAGACATTGAAATCACTATGAAGTAATAAGACAATTGCAGACATATTTAATAGAATACACAATGAATCTTTATCAGTTTCTTATTGTTTACAAGCCTTAATATAATCAAATCATTTTCTTATTAAGGCCAACCCCCATGAAACATAATCCAGATCGATGTTCCGATTCATAATACTTTGGTGATCCAGTTCACAAATATTGGCGTTACAAACGTATCCTGATATATGGAGAAGCAGAAAGTGTAAAAGTGTTAAAACTTGAGAAAACTTTCAAGCCAAAGATTCTGACATGCTGGAGTTTGAGGCAAGGGTTTGTGCAAATATAGCTATATTTCCCTTAATTGCTTACAATTATCAATTTCATATTCGTGTACGTAGGCGTTCACACATTCATATACAGATTTCTATGAAGTTGTGCATAAGCAACACCAGACCGAATATCCCCAACATATTGGGTAGGCGTTACTGGGTGGGAGCATATTGACTCTCGGATACGTATTGAGAACCAACAAGATCCTCATAACTCCGGTTTTAGTCACTCGAATAATCCTATACCTGTCCTACATTCTCCTTCCAAAATTCAACAAGGTGATCAATTAACATTAACACTATCCCCAACATTCTCCTTCCGAAAAATCTAAAAATTAGCCAATTTCATCACTTTGTGATTCTATATCAACACCACCAATTCATGATCTTAACTAAAATCTAGCACCCTACAATATCAAATCTGATTCATTACACAATATCTTGGTTTTCAAATGGGAAAAGGATCAAAATTAAGACAATGGGTATCTAAAAAACCAGTCTTTATATCCAAATCCAACAATCAAACAAAGACCAGAAAGAAAAACCTTGATCTTGAAGCGGGTTTTGGGCACATCTGTACACTCAGGGCGTACTTCATAGAAAGAATCAGCAGGAGTCCCAGCGTCCCTCCACATTCCAATCCCCCAAAAGCACTTTCACAGGAAACACAAAAGCACTTTCCCCAAACCAACAAAAATGGCCCTCAACCAGCACTTAGAGCTAACCGCTTTTCAACAAATCAACCAAAACCCAGAAAAAACCAATCAAAACCCAGAAAAATTAAACTTTCGCAGACCCTTTGGATCAAGCTCAAAACCCCACCAAATAAAAAATGATCTGTTTTTCCTTTTTGCTTTTATGGGTATTATTTTTTTCTTTTTTCTGTGTTGGTGTGGGGGTGTGGTTTGATACGACAATGATGATTGTCGCGGTAAATACTCTGTCAAAGTCGTGACGAGACGGCTGCCATCGCACACCACACCTGAAAAACCCCACAGCCAATATTTATTAACTCTTTAACCTCCCCTGTTTTCCCTTTGTTTTTCACTCATTTTCACCGTCTAAATTTTCTATGTCATCTATTTATTATGCACGTAATTACCCTACATTTTTATCCTGAAATAAAGGAGGGTAAAAAAGAAAAAGAAATTACCTGTACTTGGGTCACCTTTTTCTCTGTGGTAAATAAATTTACTATTTTCTGGGATTTTCTCATTGCTTTTTTTTTTTTTTTTTTTTTTTGTTTTGTTGTTTTTTGGGTGGCAGAAACTTGACTGGGTGGCTGAGAGATTTCCAAGGCCATCGCTTTCGCGGGAACACAGAAGGAAAGAGAACGGAAGTTGAGAGACCGAGTCAAGTCAACGCATTGGGTGGACCCTGATGAGAGGGTGAGTTGGATGGCCTTGGATGGTTTTGGAGTCGGTCAACTTTGTTAGCATCTCGAATACGTCAAACCCATGTATAGTTGATCTATGTGCATTGAATGTTGTTTTGTATGATTGTATGGCCTCATGCTAATCTTAATTATATGTAGTTAACAAACAATGAAATATACTTTATGCCAAAGGTATATAGCGGTAATACTATGAAGATTAAATTTGTAAATAAAATTTTATAAATTAAATAATATTAAAGTTATAATTAAATTATTATTTAAATACTGATTAACGTATTTGTTTCTTATTAATAATCTTAAGGAAAAATTTCGCGTTCAAGAGATTACCATCCCATGCTTTTTTCTTTGTTCCCACGTCATTGACAAAGCCGACCGGCCAAGGGCCTCAAAGCTTTGAGGACACATAAAATACTCAGTTAGTCTATGCATGCGAGGTTTTATTTTTTGCATAAATAATGAAACTTCGGTTTGCTTAAAACCAAGCGCGAGTAGAAACAGTGGTCAGTTGATGAGTTCTGAATAGATATCTATGTGAGTTCGAGTAATGCTCCCATAGAAAAACATGATGCATAGGTCTCTAATCGGATTACTCTACATTACTTAATCGTCACGATAACTCTAAAACATCAAGTGAAGTAGATTCAACAATTCAAACAACTCAACCCCGTAGAAACAGTGGTTAGTGGATGAGCCTTGAATATATGTCTACATGAGTTCGAGTAATCCTCCCATAGAAAAATATAATGCATGTGTTTCTAACTGAATTACTTAATCTCCACCATAACTCTAAAACACCAAGTGAAGTAGATTCAACAATTCAAACAACTAGGCCCATTGATTCATATAAGAAATCTACAATACCTAGATGAAACTAAAACGAAAGAACTCTCCTAAGAGAGAAACAAGAAGCAAATTTCTAATGAGCTTTTGGTAATTATTAAACAAAATCAAACTAAATGAACTAAACAGTGTTGCCGCTCCAGATCCTCCTGGCATCCCGAAGAGAGCCACAGTCTCGTACTGACTAATTAAATTTGAACCACATGCAATCTGATAGATTTCACTCCTTGCAGCTCCAAACTCATATTGAAGGTGACAACTTGACAGTCTTGACCCAAAACTTTGAGGTAATCATGTGCATGGGTCAAAAGACGGCAAACATTTTGGCGACTACAATGTGTTACGGTGACAATTCTACACCAAAATAAAAAAGACAGGAAGGGGAGAAAGGGAATAGACCAAGAAGGATTACCAAGAGGGAAAAAACCTAGCCACTTTGAGAGAGAAATTGTGTACATTTTTATTACATATAAACTATAAGCTCGTAGCATTCGTCTGGGTCGTTACAGCTTGTCCATTGGTAGTGAACGTGAATGGTTACTTACTCCGGCCACCTTCCTTTATCTTGGATCTCCATGTTGAGGAAAATATGTAACTGGTTCTTATTGGTTCCTACCAGGATTTGTTTACCTTTGGTTGAAAGAAGTGGAGGTTCCACTAGAAAATCAAATGGTAATATAGAGAGCAGCCAAACTCCTTATCAACACATATTATGTCTTTTGTTTTCACGTTGTGGGATTCTTATATACAGTCAACATTTACAAAGAGGTGTGCTCAATTAGGCTAAGTCACACAATGAGTTAGCCATAATAATTTAGTGTCGAATTCGCCCTTACAAGTGGATATATAAGAATATATACTACTAAATTGTAGTATTAGTTAACGTCAATCCTTATTTTGGTTTTTTTTAAGATTTTATGTTAATGATAAGACCCTTATTAATTGTGATGCACATATACAATGATCCCCATGAACAGAATCATTCAATGAATTTGCAACATCCACAAGAGCATGTGTTTGCGGTTCTAATCCAAAAGGTTACTTCATTACTCACAATGATTTGATTAATTTGTATCTTCTAAAAAAATTGCACCGCACGTCCGACGGAAAAAGAAAGTTAAGCTTCCACTTGAGCTCTAAAATTTGGAACCTGTGCTCGATCGCTGGTCAGGAGGTCAGTTCTTCAATGCAAAATACCATTCTGCAAGACTTTTATTACTGAGTTCCAGAACTTTATTGCAAATTGACATAGGGAAATGCCTAGAGGAGGGACAGAGAGAGACAAATCACGTTCAATAATTAATTAGTCTAACCCAGAACACAAGCCATGAATATTCTTGATAATGTTTAAGCAAAGAATAAACGCATACAAGAAGTTATTTAAAAGTTCCAATAAAATAAAGTCCCAAGAACAACTATTAAGAGTAATTATCTCACATCGAAAATAAAATAAAATCTTGTATGTAATTATAAGTAATTGAGTTACTCTTTATATTGTCAATTACTTTTATGCTTGGACCTCGACTTTTTCATCATATGAGAGCAAGTTGTTTTATGTGTGAAGCTCAATAGACAAGTTGTTTCATGTGGAGCCCAAATATGGCTACACATACTCCACGTCACATGATTTGTACTATTTACATGCTAAGCTTGAATTCGTCGCACTTGAGGCGTATGTTAAAAGTATTAATCTCACATCTCAAGGAAAGAACGGACGTTGCATTTGCTTATAATAACTGAATTGCTCTCCATATTCCTAATTAGTTTTAGGATGAAACTTTACGATGAAACTCATCATTCCTTAACAACCATTTAACAATTGAAAGTGCATATATGCTTTGCATTGAGAGCTAAGAAACCAAAAAGATAAAAAAAAAGAATAAGAAAAAGTAGCAAAAGCTTCTCTGACAACAAAGCTGGTAGAAAGTATTCCATGCAACCCCTACAAAAACCCCTATCAGAACACCGTTCATTCCACCCCATTTTTCTTCGTCTTCCAAAAACGACAGGGAAATACAAGCAATATTTGGTCCAACAATGGCCAACCAAATTCACAAAAATAATATTAATGCAGTTTTTGTTGTGGGGATTGTATGCGTGACGCTGTTGATACAGAAGAGTGGTGCAACTGACTTTGCAATTGGAGGCTCAAAGGGCTGGTGTGTTCCTGATTCTTCTGTTCACTATAATCAATGGGCGGAAAGAAACAGGTTTCAAATCGGAGACTCCATTGGTAAGTTTTTTTATGCTCTATATTTATTAATAAGGTTCTACATATCACTCTCAGTGTTCAGCATCTGAATATACAAGCAAGTTTTAGGTAAAACCTATTTTATTTAAACACTTTACTCCTATGCCACCCAGGATGACCTTCCTATTTTTTGTGTTATAACTTAGTTTGATGCGTTAATACATTATTTTTCATTTCAAATTTGCTCATAAGGTTAAAAATGGTTAAGAACATGATTTTATAGTCCACCACTTATATATTAATTTTATTAAAGAATTGTATTACTTTTAAAGGGACACTTGTCATTGTTCATGTTTGTAAATTGATTACGAGGATAAAACCGAAGTTATGTGATTAAAATTAAATACAAAAGTAAATTTATTACAATCTATGTTGAGAGTATTCATTACATTTTGTGGAAAAAAAGAAAAAGAACAAAAAGAGATCTATTATGTGTTTATAAGTAATTTGCTACTTCACATATTACCAATTAATTTTATGGTGAAACGTCAATTTTCTTCGGTCTGGTATATATTTTACATAGTTGGACAAGCCAACTGTAATTAAAATTATTGATTTGATGGAATTATGTGTATGCATGTGATTTTAATTTATAGTGTCTCACGACAACTTAACAGATCAAATAAAAGATCATTGTATTTTGGGGCTTGTAGCTCCAATGGTAGTAAATTACGTCCACCCCAAAAAAAGGGAGGGGTTCTGGTTCCCCTCCGCCCTTCCCCTCTTTGTAACAAAAACAACACACAATCAAAAATTCAAAATTGTACAAAAATAAAAATAGAAGGTTTAGTTACTCCCGCATAGCCATGCTTACCCTTGCTAATTTACTTGATATATGTTTCAACTGCAGTGTTCCACTACCCTCCTGGCCAAGACTCAGTGCTTTTAGTAACCCAGGACGACTACACCAACTGCAACACGGATTCACCTACGGCTAAGAAATACACCGATGGCCACACAGTCTTCAAGTTCAACCAATCCGGGCCATTCTACTTCATCAGTGGGAACAAAGATAAATGTCAGAAAAATGAGAAGGTGGTAGTGATTGTCTTGGCAGATAGAAACAGAAATGCAAAACCTCCTTCATCTTCAAACTCAAAAGATATGATCCCATCTCCAGCTCCTTCTGATGAAGCGTCTCCACCTCCACCGCCGTCAGGGACTACTGAGATTAACCCTACTCCTGCTCCTGAAGGTGAAACACCTCCTCCACCTCCAAACGCGGCTTCTTCAGTTTTCATGAGTTTTATTGGGTCCGTCGGAGCATTTGCCGCATCCTCAACACTTTTACTACTCTAACAAGATGGATCTAAAGCTTTCAAGATGAAGATGGGCTGGATGCTCCTTGCTTGTGGAGCGGCATACCGCATACCGAAAAAAAGAAGATTGGATTGGATTCCTTGAGTACAAAGTTTGTTTTCTTTTGAGAGCATCTTTTTATTACTCTCTGTTTTATTTTATGTTCTTTTTCCCTTAAAGCTCAGTGTACATGTTTGTACTGGTGCTTGGTATTGTTTGATTCTCATTTGTATGTGCTTGTGAGACTCCACAATAAAGGCCAATAATGTAGATGTATGCACAAATAAATAAATTGATTAATTTTACGTAGTGCATGTTAATGTATATGTGCATTCCCGTGGGAAATGCAAGTATTATCTTTGGTTTCATGACTTGCGTTTGTGGAAGCAATAAGATACGAGGTGTTTGACTATCCAAAGCCGTTAAATTTAGCTAGTTAATCCATATTCGATCCGTTACAGATTGAATTGTGAATTCATGAGTCTTTATCATTTATTGTCAAAATTTAGACCCTAATTTCACAATTTTCTGTTTTTATAAAAACTTTTAAATATAAGAAAAATCTCAACTGAATAGACCCAAAAACCCTCAAAACTAAAAGCTAGTTATACCTACAAGCTAAATCCCTTTAAATGTTATGATTTGTTGTTTAATGAGGGAGGAGAGGGACAAATCGTTTTACAATATTATGAAACCCCTTAAATCTTATGCTTTGCTGTAGTTCTGTGAAATTTTTATCATGGATTTTGTAGTTGTGTCTAAAACAAAAACTGAATAATATGTAGTATAGTCTAAAAAAAATTGAAAATCCTTACCTATGCGTGAAAAATAGCATGCTCTATTGAATTGTATGAGTGGATTTTTGCAAGGAGAATCATCACAGAAATCTAATGTAGTCATGTTGAAATTTTTATGAGTGAGAGTTTTAAACATGGAATTTTGACAAAAGTTAAAATTTATAAGTTGACACACATCACTTCCTTTTATTTGGATTCATAATACATAGAAATTAAAATTTTCATATGGGAAAAAAAAAAAACTTTGAAATTGGGACTCCAATTCCTAAGTTTAAATTTCATGTAAATAGGTGTCATCTCCAAATTTCTACGAGAGAGAGAGTTTAAATATAAAAAATTCAACATTCAAATTCCATTGTATTTTGGAGTTAACCAAAAAAAAATTCACAAATTCTAGAAAATAATATTCCATTATTTCTATTTCCGTCATTTTGAAATTCTTCAGTAATATTAAATTTCTTCATTCAAATATAGTGAAATTACAAATCCAATCCAATTGGATAAGTAATTGAAACAAACGGTACATGTATTTACTTACTACATTCATCATCTAATGCTCAGATATTATAGTCTCTTCGTTTACATATCTGGCCGTTAGATGGTGAGTGTATCTCTTTGAAAACATATTTGACCGTTAAATGGTGAATGTATTAAGTAAATGTACATCCGTGAATGATTTTGAGTTTAACGCCTCACTTATCCCTACTTTTCTGCTTTCCCTTGCAGCTAAAAACATAAAAGGAAAAACAAACAAAAAAAGCGTATAATGGGTGCTTGCACCATCCCTCGTTTACATATTCCACAACAATTAGTATGAGGTATGCGTTTCCTTTTTTAGTATAAAGTTACCTAACTATAATCGCATGAGTTGTGAAGTATACAATGTTTGTAAAATCGTTTCGTGTTTCGAAAACTTGAACCGAAAAATCGGCACTTGTAATGCTTCATTCCACATTCTTCTTTCTAAGAGGAACATGTTTCATCGTTAACAAAACAATCCTCACTAAATCAGATGTAGCGAATAAATAATTCTTCTTGTACACTAACCAACACTTGGCCTATCTATCAGAAGTTTTTGCCGAGTTCAACCTTCCTCATCATTCTAATAGTATTGTGCAGAATTGAGTCCATTATTCCCGCTACCTGCAAACCCAAACGAAAGAAAAAATTAGTGAGCACTCTTGACACAGGTAAACAACTACAAAAAACAAAGATACTAACCGTGAAAACGCCTCCGATAATAGCGCACACATTCGTGATAAAATGTGAAAAGGATTTCGGGTTTTCTGTTATTAAAACCTGGTTATAGAAGACAAAGAAAGAGAAAATGTGAGAGAAGCAAAGAGAGTAAAAACTAAAAGACATCTACACTATTTTTGTTTTTTAACGAAAATTAAACCTGCATGGGGGAGAGCTCGAAATGGAACTTCGCAACTGGTATTTGGAGACTCTGAGCCAAGCTGCTGTGCGCCGTGTACTCATACTCCTCAATTAATTTATGAGATCTCCCAGTTATGACTTCAGATTTAACTATTTGAAGGTAATGCTCTATCTGCACATACAATTACCAGATATTGCAATTATAATGAGCTTAAGCATTTGCTACTCTTTACCAGCCCAATAAACTTCATCAATGAATCTACTTGTAAGTCCACAAATATATGGAAGAACGAATAAACACTATGTAGTACCCAAAGAAGATTAGCCAAAAAAGGAATTAAAACAGTTAGTATCCACTCAGAAGGAGATGTTTATGGACCGTGAAAGCATCTTTAGGGAGGTAAGAATATCCATACAACTACTAAAATGCGTAAAACTCAATCACATGCAGCTATACATTGCCAATACACTCCCACACACATTGGCATGTTAATGGACAAGCACAGAACAATAGAGAAACAAACAGAAGAAAAAGATAGGAGTCATAGAAAAAGATAGGAAGAGTCATGCATAGAGACAAACTTACTGTAACATTAGCACCTAAGTCACGGTGATTTATGAAAGACCGACCATTCAACCTATCATGGCTCACACCAAGATAAGGTACCAATCGCTTGACATCACTCATCACCTTAGGAGCAATCATCCTACCGAATGAAAAATGTGAAATGACGTGAGACATGTTCATTTGAGAAGCATCGAAGGAATGAGCTCCCGAATGAGCGGAAATGACAAGGTTTCCCGGAACCTGCACAGCACAGGACAAATCATACCTATTTCCAACTGAATAACATCTAAGAGTTTTACTGTAAGGTCAATTGAAAGGTCAAAGAAGGCCAGAATTCGGACAATGATAAATTGCATTTTACTGGTACAATATTATCTTCTGTTTATTCATGTTAACCACCAAGTACAAGAAATTTTAAAATTTGAGGAGGTAAACCATAGCTTAGTTGCTAAGGTGGCAAATTTTTTGTTCTTTTTTCATGAAGAAGCCAAGGTCAGCTGCTGCTGTCATGACTGCACATGTGATTCTCAAGTGTGAGGGAGACTCGTGTGTGCAGCTCTGCTAACCAAATTGAGCAGTCACAGCTGCCCTTGGCATTTCTCTTTATTCTTACCGATTTCAGGCATGTGAAACACCTGAAGGCATGCTCTCAAACAAAGAAAAAAAGGAAATGAGTTGTTCAATCCCTCTGTCATCACATTTTCAAGCATGTGAAGCACCTCGAGCCATGCCTTGGGAGCAGAGGAATAAAGCAAAGATTTCTACGGGTATAACCACTGTCCTGTGATTAGGTCTAACATGCCCAATGGTTCTATTAATTTCAATTTCAACTAGAAGATCACCTTCTTTACACGCACATATCCTTCAATTCTACACCCTCCTGTCAATGGTGCTGGTCTTTTTGCATTCTCACCCCCATTGTTAGATTTACCCTCCAAAGCAAGTTTTTCAGACTCCACCGGGATAGGTGCAACCAAAGTTTCCATTGTCTGCAAGGACAGAAGCTTCATATCAGATTTACAATTTCATTGGGGCACTGAATATCAAGAAGCACCAACAAGTTCAAAGTCAAAGTTAAACATGGGATACAATGACACTAATTAAAACTTATGAATTCTTGTACCTTAACAAGGCTATCTGTATCTCGATCACCATAATAAGATTCATGCTCATGGTGTCCATGGTCATCCCTGTGAAAGAATGCCAGATAAAGAGGTTGCTTACGTTAAGCTTCATATGTACAAGACAGGCATGGCCGAGGGAGCAAAATTTGAGAATCAAATGTATGAATCAAAATGGGTCCATTAAAGAAAATAAACTGAAACATGAGCTTTTCTAAAGCCCAGGACATACACTTAAGAGAATGGAGAAACACCCCCGGGGGAAAGGGCAAGAGAGGGAAGATGAGAGAGGGAGAATTGTCTTTTCGATACTATTGCCATCTCAGAAAGATCATAAATGAATAAACTATGCATGAAGCTCCACAACTGAAGGACCAGAAAAACCTAGATAAGACTTAATTGGCTCCCCTAAGATTGCATTTAGATAGATGACTTGAAATTGAGGATTTCAATTTGCATTTTTATTATACATTGTATAAGATATTAGGCATATTAAAATTCTTTGCTAATTGAAAGTAAATGTACATGACAATATAAGATCAGTTAAATATTAAAGAACAAAATGTCATTTCAAATTAACTTCCTAATGTACTTGACCAAAATTTTCTTTCAGTATATCAAAACTATACTTCATCCCTTCTTTGACATTTCACACTCAATATATAAAAAAGTAAAATTCAAATCTTGCATATCCACATGTTGAAATGGAGCCTTACAGCACGTAAAAAACTGCTCTCCAAATAGATACAGATAAATACGCATACGAGTAAGATGAGGATAGAACAAACAAAAATAAAAAACGATAAATTAAATGCGACTTAAAACGTAATGTTAAAGACTCCCAAATTGAAATAATTTCGGTAATAAATAAATGAGTAGAAATAAGTTTGAAAAGAAAATAAACTTTGCAAAATTTTGTAGCATTTACCTCACATCACTTCCTTTACGAAAAATACGAATTGATGGATATCCTTGAATGTGATTCCTGAACATTATGAGGAAGCATAGTTAATAATGGCAACAACAGGAAGACAGTGGTACATGAAGCACACTTGAGAGGTAAGTAAAGAGGAGAACAACTAGGTTGTATCTTGAGATGTAAAGCAATGATGTATAACTAGTTAAGATGGCACATAAAAGCTTAAGTTGGTGGATATGAAAATAGTTCAAATGGTAATTCAAGTCTGGGACACCAAGATTGATGGCTTAACTATGGCAACATACAAGAATACCACGTGAAAATGCTTAAGATAGAGATAGACTAAAACATGAGCTCATCCATGTTCCCACCCTGAGGCTTACAGTTCTCTTTTCAACCAGAAAGTCAAAATATACTGATCTGCCAGTAAAATGCTACATTGGTAAGAATACTACCACTACTACAACAACGCCAACAACAACAACCAAGCCTTATCCCACTAAGTGGGTTCGGCTGTAGGAATCCTAGA